CTTCTTCTGCTTCTTCTGCTTCTTCTGCTTCTTCTGCTTCTTCTGCTTCTTCTGCTTCTTCTGCTTCTTCTGCTTCTTCTGCTTCTTCTGCTTCTTCTGCTTCTTCTGCTTCTTCTGCTTCTTCTGCTTCTTCTGCTTCTTCTGCTTCTCGTGGCCGTGTTACTTTCAGTCTTTTGCCCTGCCACAGCATCTTAGTTGGCCTGAAATGCAGCCAGCAGCAACAGTAGCAGCAGTCTCGCGGCGGGCGACGACCCTCAAGCTATGATCGACAAGGCCCTCAAGGTCCTTGCCGTGGTGAGCAAGAGCAGGGTGCACTACACGAGTTTCAATCATTTCGAGTTTCAAGAGGCTACAAGCGTCGGAAAGCCAGCGGAGCCTTTTGATTTCGAGACCGACCCGAATAACCTGGTTGCCGCCCGGCGCGAGCGTGTGCAGAGAGACCAGGACGATTCTGCCATTCGAGATGGCGCCTCCATCAGCTACAGCATCCTAGCCTAGCTCTCTCGCGCGGCCCATATGGTGGCAGAGACATAGTGTTGTTTGTCAGGCAGGTTTGCCTTGATTAGTCAGCCACACATTCGGCCCACAGCTGCCCTCAAAGGCAGCATCTTCGCGCTATCGCGTTCTTCCTTCTTTTCCATAGCATCAGCATGTTCTTCAGATAGAGAACTCATCATCTTCCTTCTCTTCTGAGCTGTTGTTCATCACCATCTTCATACATAGCCCCAGAAACCCACTGGCAACCATATTCAGGTAGCTGAGGCAATCCGATCCAAGTACCAAGCTCGCAAAGTCAACGACACTAATGCAACCCTCGAGTAAGACGCCCCTGCAGAGCTTCTAGCCGTCTAGGCCGGGGAACGCGGTAGTGGCTCTCACGCGAGGCGCGCCTCTGGGTACTAGATGGTGGACGACCAAGACCATCCGGGCATGAGCTCCTACGCGCCGTCTGACTACAAAGTCTGGAGGGACGCCAAGGACCTCTGCGTACCATTAGCATGCGCTTCTCTAGTCGAACATCCTCAAAACAGCACGTGCCAGGACCTTGAGGGGCAGGAGAAACTACGAGGCGGGGATCTGCGCAGGTTTAACCCTCGGCTCAATTTCGAGTGTTTGAACCTAGATGCTGGTGGCGAGGCGTTTGACTGGGCGTTATGCCCCCCGGCGCAGCATTGGCCGTATAACCACGCCAGCAGTGGTGGTGGGCTCGATGGCACCGTCACGCCTCATACTGAAGACGACTACACTCGATTTCCCACGGACCATCCCCAGAACTCTACGATCGCTGAGGGTACTACCATAGAATGCGACAGGTGGCATGCTGCAAAGAAGGCTGTAGCTGTGCTGCGATCTCTATGGGACGGGTATACACATTGACCTGCTCCTAGCCGCCAATTCATCCCTGGATACAGAATTGATGAAGCGCAGCGCACAAGTGTTTATTGGGTCGGCCTACTGCACGGGACCGACATGTGGATAGGGAGAGGGATAGTGCTTGAAATTTTAGACAGGCTATACGCTAGGAAGGACGTGTATCCTGCAAAAGATCAGGTCATTTTCGGTGTAAAGTAATTAAGAATTCCATCCACTTCATCAACCCATCCAATTTCATCGAGACTCAAGTCAGTGTCCATCATTCCAATGCAGAGGCCTAAGATCATATTGGGAAGTTCGGCTCGCAACCACAATCTCCCTGCGTTATGACTATCAACTTGCCCTTCTCCGCCAAGGTCTTCGCGCTTGAGGGCAGTGACGACTTTGACGTAGAGTTGATCCACATGTTGATCAGGCAAGGGAACACGCATCTGCGACAGATGATCAAGACCTTGCTGATCCAACATAATACAGAACTCGAATCTGCCGAGCGTCGAGCCAAAGGGTACAAATTCCCGCCATCCCTTATCCCGATGATGCTTCTCGATCCAGTCGTCGAATAACTCGCCCACTTTATCCGGCCGTGCACCATTAAGAGCGGACGCGTCTTCGACAATGTCGCAGTAGAACCTTTCCGCCAGAGCCACGTTCGGAGCGAGATTTGATGGATACTCGAGATGATCTCTCGAAGACGCTGGCTCTCTAAGGATAGATTGTTTCGCTAAGAAGTAAAAGTTCTCAACTGCTCGGGGGAACAACTCGTCAGACCCGGGTGTGTAGACCGTACGAAAGATAGTGAGTCCCCAAGAGTACGGGCGGTCGTGTGAATGAGAGTTGTCGGTGATTTTTTGCAGAGTATCTCGAATGTACAGGTTGGCTCGTGTATAGTATTTGTTACCATCGGGGTGGTCTGCGTTCAAGAGTTCTGGCGGAAATGGCATAAAAGGTTTGATACATTGCGCCGCCAGCGGTGGCGGGGGCACCCACCGCGCTGACATAGTGTGAGGACGTTGCAGTCTAAGTATTGAGATGGAATCAAGAGGTGGGGAGATGTGAGGAACTGAATAAGTCTTCAACGGTTGGATGTTATAAAATTGCGCCCTTGGTCTACGTTTAGTTGCTGCGTGTCTGGCGGGGAAAAGGGGGCGAGGTCAGTGTGCGGCCCACTCCACGTGAATCATCTGGCTGGTATAGGGCAGCCGATCGCTAAGCGGTCGAGCTGGGGAGGGGGAAAAATCATCATCACCAGCGAGTACGAAATTTTTGAAACAATAGCCATTTATTGCGCCGCAACACGCTCCGAAAGATCAATTCGATGGCCAAGTGCCCGTCGCATAGCCCAAGTGCGACGCATGTACTATGGTGACCCCTGGCCTGATCAAATCTGGCCTACCAACTATCGAGAGCACGCCGCGAAATTGAGCACCTCCCTGCAGAAAGCACTTCGTCAATTGAGAGCGCGTTCAGACCGCCTATAGAGCCGCGAGAAGTCAGATATGCTTTCTTCAGAGCCTTGAACCTCATCGTCGAAGTTTGGTGTCTATCAGACCTTACCCATATCCATGAAGCAATCCGCAAGGCGCAGCACGAAACAAAGACAGCCGCACAGAATACCAGTAAAGCCATTAGCGATATCCGAGACGAGCTGAAGACTTTCAACAAAATAACCAAACAGACTATCACGACGATCCAAGACAACGCGAACGTTGCGCTCGCGACGGGAGGAACCGCGAAAGCAGCCGTCGGAACGCAAGGCTACATACAAGACGGTAAAAGACATGAAACCCAATGCCACGCCAAACCAGAGCAATATTGCCTAGACATACGCCAGTATAGTCGCCAGAGGCGGCTTAGCTGGAAGCAGTCACAACCCCGTGAACCATTGAACATCCCCCGTCCAAGTGCAACGTGAAATTATCGTGAATATCCGAGACCCGGTCACCATCACAAGCATTAGAGCCATGAGTCCACGTAGCCTGAAGCACACGCCGACAGGGCCATTGAAAAACGCAACAACGAGCACATCAACAAGATCAAAGTGGTTTCTTCGAACCAGCTTGAGTAGTGACCTCAGCACCAAGACCGTAACTAACGCAGAGACGGAGACCCTGCGGCAGTTCGCAGAGGACCGGGGACACAGAATCGGTAACGGCGCCAAGGTGCTCGTTGTGACCTACGACGTACTAGCACACGGAATCCGCACTATCTCCATGGATATGGATTACTTTAACGAACTGAGAGATGGGATCCTACACGATAACAAACGGTTTATCCCTAACGCAGAGACCTAATACATAGGCTGGCTCACCAAGTCGTTATCCTCAAATTCGGTGTTATCTGAGATTATGGAATTCGCACGAGCGGAGGATATAAACAGAATTATCGACGAAGGACTGATTTAGCAGGGCGAGGTCTTCCAGTGCGAACGATAGTACAGACAGTGCCGTCTGAGATAGTGCTTCAGATGCCGCAATATGGCCACACGGGAACCCAATGCAGGGCAATAATAGACCCGAGAGTGTCCCGCGAAGAACGACGATATGGCGCACCAGAATGCGCCGCCTGCCGCGGAGAACATGAAGCCTAGAGCGGGCAGTGCCCGACACGGAAGGAAGAAATGGCCAAGGTCAAGGCTGCCTACAAGGCACGACCGAAATACCACCCGGAGGCCCCAGTGCCACCCGTGTCCGCCGCGGGCGGCGAGCAGATCAGAATTAAGGAAACGACGAGATCCCGCCGCCCAGCCCTGGAACCACGCCAATCCAAAGAGCGCGAGAAGGCCGCAGTAGATCGCCTACCAAGAAGATCCAAAAGCGTCAGAACCCAACAGATAGCCAGCTGCAGGACGAAAATTCCGGCCCAAGCATCCACGTTATCACCGATCTGACGAACGCTGAGAACACAAGATCGAAACGGGCAGTGACGAGATCACAACGCGCACTAGAGTCACTAGACACAAATATACGCTGGACACAAGACAGCTCACAAATGGACATTTTTAATGAAGAATGATCACAAAACCTACTCTCACAATACTGCAGTACAACGTCAGAAAGTCCAAGGACACCGTCATGGCGACATTGTTCCGTGACCCACGAATCCGGGAGTACGATATCATCGCCGTCCAGGAACCGTGAAAAAACTCTTTCAGTGACACGACACACCACCCAGCTAAAGATTTCTTCCACCTATGCTATTCGGATATGGAAAAGAGTGAATCGACCAGGATTTACTTCTTAATTAGCAAACAACTAGATCAATCCCAGTGGAGTTTTAAAGACGCAGGAAGAGACCTCTGCAAGCTGATACTAAAGACAAATGCTGAAAGCAATAGCGAGGTTGCCATCCACAATGTACACAAACCCCATCAGCGACAAGAAAGCTAGCGAAACACTCCACCTCGGCTGAGGCGAGAAACGCAGAGCTTACACGGAATAGAACAAGTCGTTATAGGGGAATTTCATCTACACCACGAGCAATGGGAGGGAGCAAAATAAAGCGATCAGACGATGAGGCAGCTGAGCTGCTTGAGATGATGGACGAGTTCAACACCCGATGTCTTGCATTGGTTCAGTACATGTCAGCCAGAAAATTGATCCGAGGTCTGGCCCCAAGATGGACCATAACTCCTTTACTTCGCTCGAGTCTACTTCTCTGGGAGCCGATGACACGGGGCACCAACTTGCCCAGACACTGCTACAACTACGAGGGCAGCCAAGATCGGATGACACGGCCACAAAGACACATCCTTCTGTACTAGATGCTTTAAAAGGAACCGAGTCTCTCATTGTTGATACAGGCGCCTTCTTTCCGCTCGGCCTATCTGAGTTCATCGACTCCCCGAGAAATGGAGGCCAGTAGTACAGGGCCTCAAGCAAGACAATTCCTCCCAACGTTGGCCTCAGCACCGGCTTGCTCCCATGACACCTGCACCGCCTCATCTTCTTGTGCCCTAAAACTCTCCAGTTGTACTGCCCCATTGCGCAGCAGAAGACCCCATCTCTCACAGGAAGTGAACCAGAGCCCGGAATTTAGATAGGAGCTTCGATCTGCCATTCCAGGGTATTTTTATAGCATCACTATTCTTGTCTAGTTGTTATGTGACTTGAAAAGACTCTTGGATTTCTCTAATGCCTGCAGTGGTACAAACACGGCGAGAGAGCCCTTTAGCGATACGAATACGGAATTAGTATAAATGGATGCGGTCGACATCTATTCTTCCTGGTGGGGTGGGGGGAAGTCCGGGTACTCTAACAAGGACTCGGTTAAAAGTGGATGTAGTCGACAGCGCTATTCAGGCGTACGTAGGGCTCTTCAATAAACCAAGAAGGAGCCCTGTCTATTAGATCGACTCCTGACTAGGTCCTGTCATGGGGCCTTCGAAAATCCCACTACAACAACAAGGAGTCTCTTGGGCTACATTCACTTCTGCCTAGGCTCTTGCTAGGTGCCCTTAGGCCTCCCAATGCCGCCAGGAAAGAATCTACTTGACTACACTTCTGACTAGCTTTTTGGAGCGGGCCTTTGAGCTTCCCCACCTCAACAAGAACAAGCGTAGTTAATCACGGCCACTTAGTACTAAGTTTTTGCCAGGGTGATCAGCTACACCTTCATAAGTGGTGGGCAACGCATCAGCTATCCCGGCCACGACTGGATGCCGAACCAATCGCATCAATCACACCCCTCCGAGTATGGAACATATGAGAAGTACCTTAGCCTTACTATTGATATGGAAGCAAAGGTAGACACTAGTGGACGGCCTTTGTATACGGAGCCGACGAATGCTCCGCGTCCAGCCACATTGCTCGCGCGTCTACGCACAATGTAGGGGCCAAGGAGCCGAATAGGCTGCCTGGTACAACTACAGTCACGGGCGATAGTTAGTGCACACCTGTCGCGTTCTTGTACGCATGGATGACTGATCGCCGTGGCAGGCCTGCGCGTTAACCGGGCTGCGAGCCTGCCACAGGCGGGTGCAGCGGTCAAAAGCAGATTTTGTGCTTTTAACGGTAGAAGCGGCTCTGAATTAGAAATTACGAGCCTGGCAAAATTAAGTCAATTCAATCTCAAAGCCGCTCATCACCTTCTCAGCCGTTAGACTCTCCTCGTACGGTTTTCCTCAACCTTGACCTTCCGTGCTCGCGTTGAGTAAGAAGTCTCCTCCCGCCGGGAAGGAAGAGACCGCAACGGACGCTCATTCTCCTCCTCCTCCTCCTTCTTAACCTTGACCTCTGACCTCCTCGTCCCCTCAGCTCTCCGCTCAGCCTTCTCCGCCTCAGCAATCTTCTTGCGCTTCCCGACTTCCCACTCATGAAGCCAAAGCATGTTGTTCGAGTTGATGGCATAGCCCTTCTTCAGAAGCCACGCGCACCACTTCTCCCAGCCCTCCTTGAGTTTCCCCCGTCGGTCGTAGGGGTTCGCCTCATGCATCCAAATGTTCCAGCGGGTTGCGATGTCCTTAACCTCGTCCACGTCCGTCTTGAACCACTCAATGTGCGTCCGGCCGTGAGTTTTACACCACATCATCTCGTGCCACACATCAATCAGTTCAAAGTGCGTCAGAAGCTCGACCCTCTCTGGATGCCGGATATTGGATATGGAAGCGAGCAGCGTCGGCTCGCCGTGCCCGCAATCACCCCAGTCGAGGAGTCGACTCGCGATGGACCGGCAGGTGTACCCGATCTTGATCATGCCGCTGAAGACGCTGTCTTCGTGCGTGTACATGTATATTGAGCCGCTCGTGCCCGTGTTGAGATCCAATTTCGAGCAGAGTCGCTCGGACATGGACTCGGTCGTGTGGACCTGATGCCTTGCGAACATCCGGCGAGGCGAGACAGGGACGGCAACGGCGACAGGCTGGGCTTTCTTGCTGGGGCTCGGCGTTGACGTGAGCTTCAGCTCTTCGTACCAGATACGCGCAACCCTCTCACCAATCTTAGTGCCGTAGATCTTGCTGCGATGGTGGCGGGGGCAGCAACAGAGCTCTGCGACCTCCTCGAGGACGTTCAACCGCTCATCGACCGAGAGCCTTGGATTCTTGACCTTCTCCAACAGCCCAACGGCTTCACAGACATCTTCATTGGTGATCTTGCATAGGCAGAGACGCTGTGGCTTTGGTAGGTACCAGATACATTGCTGCGATGTGTCCTTCAAGAAGTCGCGCGTGTCCTTGAGAGAGGGGAATTGAGCTGGGGTCGGTAGGGTTGCCATGTCGACTTGGACTCAGCGGCTGTTCAAGAGGGTATTCCACATTCAGTGTGCTGTAAAATGCCTCAAGTCGTCCCTCCCGTCTGTACGATGCAAAGCCCTTATTAGTAGGCGCGCACCTCTGACTCACAAAGTATGAGGAAGAGGTGGCGGCCTTCGAGGCACTGCATTACTATACATTAATCGGGTGCGGCTGAGCTCGCTTGAACCGCGCGCAACTCTAAGAGGGCATCCTTGACACGAATATGGTGCTCTTCAGCAGGTCACCTGCGTCTCAGTTCTTCAGCTCTAGGTCACGCAAAGAAGCGTGGCGTACGGTGGGATATTAGATCAATAACTGCCAACTGTGTCAACCCCGAACTGCACACGTACTTTCAGTGTCGTAGCCTCGGTGGTTGACACTGTTGGCCGGCTGAACAGCCTCTACGAAAGCATTGTACTGGCCGGTTTAAGCGCTGGTGTCAATTCATCCCTTCACACCCTTAGCCATTCCTTGTTGGTCCTGCGATTGTTACACCATATCCTCCGCGGCGCTTCCCCACAAACCGACGAAGATCAAACATGGGCGTCTACTGCGGCTTCGATGTCCACCCCTCGGACCTGTAAGAAGTCTTTTTCCAACACGTATTCCAGAGATGTAGTAACAAGGTCCATCCCTGTACCGGAGAACCACTTTACCAGATCGTTGGCACACCAGAAACCAAAAACGCCTACGTCGTCTTCACTGTCGGCGAGGGTCCTAGACTACCTTACCGGTCCGAGTACGTTCCTTGCTGTTCATGTGCCGAAGACGGCTCAACATTGTCCTCGCGGGTTTCCGTGGTAAACGCACTGTGGCTTGCAGGACAGAAGTCAGCCAGATTGTACACGAGACGCTGCTGCGCCAATAACGAGCCGCCAGGCACTTCCGGCCTGCGTGATAACCCAGGAGATCGAAGATGGTATGCAGAACGACAAGAGGAAGCTGCAGCTACTGAGCCTGGAACAATCCTTTGCCGTGTGACCGGGCCACGGGACCAAAAGAACGCCTGTCGTTCTCTGGGCCAACTACGTCCAAACGATGCCGCTTCAGAGCCTGATACTTCACCGCGACAACGTCTGTGTCTCGTCCCCGGCCGTAGGACAAATGCTCACGAAGGTCTTCCGCCTACCCCTTGAATCTAAAGCGCTTTGAAGCCTCCAATGGAAATGGCCGTCCGTTGTACGTATTAGACATGAACGTGGGTGTAGTCACAGTAGTGGCCAACCAGACGCTGCGAAAAGGACAGAGCAGGGGTTGTATTCCCCGCTTTGTGGTTGAAGCGATGAACACGGAAAGTGCGCGCAACCACAGTAAACGCCGTGGCAACCAATCAGGACCTTTTTTCCGCCTCCCCTCGCGTAGATGCAGCTTGTAGCGCTCCATGCCGTGACTGCGCTACCGGGCTATAATTAACAGCTGCACCTGGCCAACGAACGAGTGGTGGATTTCTTCGGACCAACTTGTTCCTTTGAACTTCCTCCAAGCGGTGAAGGGCGCTGCGCGGTATTTGGCTTCGAGAGCTGATGACGCTTGGCTTAATGAATTAGTCAGGTCCCGGGCCCGCTGGCTGTTCGAGGAGCCGAAGTCGCACGACCGAGAAGGATACCTAGACCTCTTTAAACAGACCGTGATCCTGTCGTAGATATTATCCTAGGCTATAATAGAAGAGTTCTACTGCCTTAAGATATTGAATTACACTCCTTTCCCTTCTTTTATTAAAACTGAGGGCGGACTATCCTAAGGTAGCTATTTTAGACGAGTTATATCTCGAACCGGAGCTATCGGAGCGATATAGCAAGCTGGGCAAAAAATTAAAGAATCTTACAAGGCTAGAGCACGAAACAGAGAAGACGGAGAATATAGTGATAGCTATTTACGTGCGAGTCGGGGTTGGCCCTTGGATTTTTTTCTTTCGCGTTTCAGTATGCGCACATGGCTATCAGTCGTTTACAGTCATCGTGCTATAGTCCTTTATAAGGAGCCTTACGCTCCATTACCTTAGTCAATCAACCTTTCCCCTCTTTACTTGAATTCTATTACTCTTGTACTTTGATCTACAACCACCACCCAGGCTGCGGGCCTGGCGCCCCGGCAGACCCGTCGAATCTTGCTCAGGACCTCTGCCAAATCCTTCAATTGATCTCGAGAGCGTAGATGCGCTGCGTTGTTGCTGTTCGTGATGCCGTGGCGGCAGCCTTTGTGATAACCTCCACGCCCGACGATGCGGTTGTCGTTGGCAATCGACGTTACACAAGGCAGCCATACCCGTCGGCATCATCCATCTTCCTGTCGGATAGGCAGAGCCCAGCGGCTCTGATCCGTTTCCTGCTGCGTTGTCGTTCCACCCAACACACTATATCCTAATTAGAGTTTATCCCGTAAATAAGGCCGTTGTTAGAACTTGTTTCGATAAAGGGAGTGGGAAGATACACAACGTCGGGAGGGCGAAGCTAGGTCGCTGCGAGTACGCCGTACTTGGTGACTATATCAATCTCTTGATCTCCCTAGAAGCTGATGCACTAATTAATTAAAAGCCAGATCAAACAGGTGGAATAAGGATGATCAATTCAAACGTCCTTGGGCAGCTGGTCGGTCAGCCTAAATAGGCATGGCGCGGCTGCTCCTCGAATCGTGTGCACGCAGCCTGGTTGGCTGCGGCGTTATCAATGCTATCTTATCGCTATCGTACCTGTGCGTGTACGTGACTAGCACGTGACACCCACACACAGCGCGGATGCATCTTGTTTGAATGGTCATACAACCTCCAAAGTGTATCACAGAGTATGGACAATATAGGACATTGTATTTAGAGGGGAGGTAACATCGGAAGGATTCGAGAAAGGGCCTTTCTCTAAACCTAAGCATCTGGGAGCCTAGACATCACTCGTCGGACTAGCTGCCAGTCCAACTACAATTTCAGGCGCTAGTAAATCGAAGTTATGTACATTCATATAGATTTAGATCGACCCGTATGACTCCCCGTAGACAAAGAAATCAAAAACATAAGAGAGAAGAAGGGCAGCTACTGCCGATAGCCCAAGGCGCCTCCATATCCTGCCCGTCAGGAAGGCTGGCGCAGGTATAGCCGCGTCCTCGACGGGCGCCGCAGTCTGCGTGGTAGCGGTAGCCTGAGCCTCAGTCTCTATCAGCGTATTTGTCCAGTCTGGGCTCGAGCTACGGGGATGAATCCCAGCCTCAAGTAGCAGCTGCTCGATATCGCGATACCCGTTCTTCTGCGCAGCACAGAGCGCCGTCCCGTAGTGGCCGACCTGAGCCTGGAAATTAACATCGGCCCCGGCCGCTAGCAGGATCTGTACTGTCTCTATCTCCCCTTCCGCCGCCGCCGCACAGAGCGCTGTCCCGTAGCAGCCGAAGTGGGCCTGGAGATGCACATCGGCCCCGGCCGCTAGCAGGATTTGTACCGTCTCTGTCGATCCTCCCGCCGCCGCCGCACAGAGTGCCGTCCCGTAGTCGCCGACCTGGGCCTGGAGATGCACATCGGCCCCGGCCGCCAGCAGGATTCGTACTATCTTTGTCGATCCTCTCGCCGCCGCCGCACAGAGCGCCGTCCCGTAGTCGCCGACCTGGGCCTGTGCGTTAAGATCAGTCTTGATGCGAAGCTGCTCCGTCGCTAGCACAATCCGCGCCAGATTGCTATAGCCTCCGAAAGACAAGATATAGAGAAGGTCTGCATCTATGTTCTCCCTCGTCTCATAGTCGCCCGCAGTAGCCCGGACGAACCCTACCCACCATTCGAGCCCCGTCGCCTGCTTCTCGAGCCATGAGACCACTGCCTCTTGCGAATCCGCTCTGGCCGCCAGTCCCGGGTCTCCTGGGCCTCCTATATTGATAGGACGTGACACTGCCTTGTCCGCATGGGCAAAGATATAACGGGTGGCGTAGCCGAGAAACGGGTAGTCATGTTGGAGCTGGGTGACCGACTCTGCGCTTGGCCGTCGCTGGACTGAATCGTTATGGTCCCATGCAATACACTGCTTTATGTAGCGCCAGCAGATAGCCCAAAGGCGGCCATGAGTCGCGCTGACGGGGTCGGGACCGAGAGTCGGGTCGAGCTGGCCGAGTCGGCCCTGGCGGAAGAGGAAGTCGTTGACGGATAGGTGGATGAACTGGACCTGAAATCGCTGCTCATCGTCGTTCCTTAAATTTTCACTCTTCGGCTTTCGCACTTCAACAAGGCCTCGCGAGGCTGAGATAATCCGTCGACGCATATCATCCGACGTCAGCCGGTGCTGCGTCAGCACCTCCTTCTTGCCCGTAGCCCATATTATAGCATAGTAGAGCTCGTCGAGAAAGAGTGGCCGCTGGCCCAATAATACCCACTGTAGCGCTAGCGCCGTCTCCTCTCGCTTTCATCCTTCTCGGCTTACTAGAGCCTCGAAAATCTTCTCGATATTATCCGGCACAGACTGAAGGGCCGTCCACATTGCCTCAATCTCACCCTCGTCGTAGGCAATGTTAAGTTGCTCAACCACTAGCACCACCCAAAGGAAAACGCCATCCGCCCTACGCTGAATTTCAGCCTGAAGTTCCGCGTTATCTCCCACGAGGGTATCGCTAATATAGGCGGCAATATCCTGGCTATGCCCGTCTATACTGTCCACGTAGAGTGGTAGGTGTTTCTGTATTGTGATTGTAGGGTAGTAACGGCTCGATAGGCAGATCCGGAGCGTAACGTTCGCCTGCGCGGCACAACTACTTAGCGTCTCGAGCGTTTTCACGACAATACGAACGCCGTCATCGGAGCACTCATCAAGGGCATCGACTAGCAGGAGCAACGGCCGCTTTACCGCTCCGCCGTTCTGCATCCCTTGCCATCTGATCACCTCAAGAAGAAAGTCGCGGAGCTCGGAAAACGACCAATCATATAGCTTTAGAAGGCCCATGATACGGCCTCCCGCCCTTGTCTTATCACCGTTTAGGCGCGTCTTGTCATCGTAGCGCGGCACGAAGAGTCTGTAGATAGTGTCGTCGTGCTTGATAAGCTCATAGGTGATCGACCGGAGCATGCCTAGGGGCGACTTCTCACTCGCGTCGCCCCGCGCATTGAAAAAGTACGCGGCGATCAAGTGGTCGAGGAAGTGGTGCTGGCAGTACTGGAGGGCATGCTTTATTAGCGTGGACTTGCCAGCGCCGGGCTTGCCCTTGAGCCAGAGGACGCCGTGATGGTCGGCGAGGCGGTCGCGGCGACACCACTCGCGGAACTCGGGGGTGGCAAAGAGCCAGTCACAGGTGCCGGCGAGGGCAGGCTCGATGTCGTGCCGGCGGGCCCCGAGTCGGGCAAAGGCTAGCGAGCGCAGACAATCTGGAAGGCGTCAGAATGACATTATCACATAAGACTTGAGACACATTAAAGCAAATACAGCCATATATTTACACGCTGTGTAGTCGAGAATGTAGTTGGTGCTATGACATACCTTCCTTCCTTTCCTGGTGAACGGTTTTCTTATCTATAGTTTCTTCTTTAGTTATTTAATATGTAAATAATACTGATTTTAAACGAAATAAGAGATATCGTCACTAACTAGAAAAATTAGCTGTTCCAAAGAAATTCTGTTGGACTGCATTGGTATTGTTGTTCTGTGCGCCGCTGCTAGTATTGAAATTGTGTGGGCTGGATTCGTGATTGGTGGATGATGGCTGAACGGCTTTGTCTGTTTGTAAATAGCGCTCAAGAACGGCTTTAGAGACTGAAGCGGCAGTTGCTGCTGCATAATCCTGCCAGCCCTTGTGCTTATGGCTGTCCGCGTAGTCGCACACCCCTTTGACCACGATGCAAGGAACCTCGTCCCAAACGCCCGCTCCCTCCATCTCAAATGCGACCGCCTTGGTCTCCATGAAGATCTTGTTTCGATGGGCAGCCGACCGAAGGACTAAGTCGCCCGAAGCAATAACCCCTGTATGGGCGGCAGGGGATTGTGTTAGGCGTTGAGGCCTAGGCTCTAAGAAGCTGTGATCACAACCGAGATCATCGCACGGCGATTTAAGCGCCTCCGGACAGACAGGATCAAAGTCGCCGAGGCAGCTTTGGCAGATGCAGTTCAGCTTGTTCTGATGCTTATGGTGGTAATCCGACTTGAAGAGCTTGTCTTGAGCGGCTCCAGGGCTGTCGTACTTCCCGGACCGCCTTCGGGGTAATTTTTGCTGCAATTCCTGCAGTACTTGTGTGGCTCGTTCCTCGAGCCTGTCGATTCCACGGTCTGATTCGAAGACTGCTATTAGATTCCGAATATCTTTGTTCGCTCGGCCGAGGTTATCTTCGACGCTATCCTTGCGCACAAACTTATCGGGGTGCTGCCTGCCGAAGTCGTACTGCACCACGCTCTTGCTAATAATAACGTCGCCTAGAAAGATATTATGGCCGTTCGTATCATGAGGCATACCGCCGCACACGCCAACGATGAGTGCGAGTCGAATGTTAACGTAGCTCGACCGCATGCTTGCAGCGGCACTCGCGGCGTTCGCTTTGCCCATGTGCGGCAACTAAGCTAGTACGATGTTATAGACTCCCATACGACCAGTAATATAATGATTGAGGTCGCCATTGGCACGGCCGTATCGATCGCCGTCCTCGTCCCAGAACTCGTCGAAAGCAGCCTCGACGGCATTACGCTCGCACGTCAGCGCGCAGATAATAGCGATCTCGAAGTCGTCGCGGCGAGCGGGGCATCTAGGTAGTCTGGTCTGCATAGTGCGACAGTAGGTGTCGCTTTGCTTGGTCGAGGTGCTCTGTATGAAATGAGACTGTTGTGCTCGCTAGTGATCAGGCGGAAAGCGTGGGCGTGCCCGTTCGCCGTAAGCAATGAGCGAGGGTTGCAGCAACGTAAGTTGACGCAGGTGAAGCCTGGTCATGCGCTGATGGCGGCTGAGCGGCCGCCTCAGCCAACCACAGGTGATATTCGTTGCCGCCAACCAACGAAACTCTCGAGCCTATCATCGAAGCTGCCACAGATGGCGAGGAAACCAGGCGCGGAGACGACTTTGCGATTACCATGATTCAGGGCGGAAGACCATAGAAAGGAAGGGGCATATCCTTCTCATGGGCGTAAAAGATATTTTGCTTTTCAGACGGCCACAGAGCGCCATGACCTATTTCAATTATCGAGAGTACGACACGCAATGGGGATAGACGACGAGAAGCAAGCCAGGACTCATGGCGTGCGGTTTCTAAGTCACATCAGGACAACAGCCTGCAGATAGTGCCGTCCGCACTAGCGAGCGGGCCGAATAGTTTATAGACCACGTCCACGCCGTCGGAGAGATCTATGCAGGCAGGCAAAGAAACGGCCGTTTCGACTCGTATTTCGTGAGCGGTATAGGGTAGGCGCGCCGCGCGTCGGACGGCAGTCAGCGCGTGATGGTGGTGCGGGTGCACAACCGCGTACTTGACGCGTTCTCAAAACCCCGAGATTCTTTGCTTGTCCCTCTCAGGTGCATGCGGCGGCCGTAGCAGCAGGAACTACATGCCATTCGACGAGGTAAACACTCTCCGCTCCCGGGCTGTCGGGTCGAGGGTATGAGTGTTATCCTCATCCGAGCCTTCGTGGTCGCTCCGGTTGCGTCGCTGACGGTGGGATTATAGACAACGCACATGAGATGAGCCACGATAGACCAACGAAAATACGATACGATCCAGAATGGCCATCATTACGAGTCGTGCTTAATCTGGAATAATGTCAGACGCATGTTGCATGCCAAATGTTGTGTGACAGGCCAGTCACTGCCTTGATTGGTCAGGCTACACATTCGGCCCACAGCTGCTCTCAAAAGGCAGCATCGTCGCGCTATCGCGTTCTTCCTCTTTTCATAGCATCAGCATCTTCTTTAGATACTGTACTTGGGTGATTAACACACCAGTTCTGAATTGGCCGTTAGGACGATATCATTCCTTGAGAGCTGACTTGTTGCCTTGGGGGTGCGATGGTCTGGGACGATGGTTGACTGGCTGGTGCCTCTATCCAATTCTGCCCAATAAGTAGAGTGTCTGACTTACAGCACTTTCCTTTGCAACCAGACTCTACAACTCTTTGGTACTGTATTTGCGGCGCTACGGGATTCTGAAGTGACGTTCGGTTGGACAATTACTCAAACGGCTTGCATCACAAGCGCCACCAAGACCCGCCAGAGAAGCCATGGACATGGTTCTATCCATTGGTATCCCATAACCTGTCCGACAACCTCTTCGTCTGTTTCTGCCTTCATCATGGCCGCGTGTGCCTAACGAATCCCTTTTGGCGTCACCAGCTAACCTCTGTGGTAGCCCGAGCGACCATTGACCTGCGGCAGAACAAGAGCGCGAATATCACTCTTCCCTCGGCTTCTTCTGGAAGGATTGAGGACTTGGGACTCTCCTCCTCATTTCATTTGGGGTAGGCGTGGTCTTTTGATATGGAGGCTGGGTCTTCTTGTCCCCTGGATATGAGCGTGTTGGGCCAAGGCTTGGTGCCTCGTAGTTGACGGCTGTGCCTTGGCACTGAGTGGTATTATTGTTCATGTCTGCACGCCCGTAACGGCTATTGTATCGGTCGTGGGACAATTGTATGAGTGCTTCATCACTCATCGAACCAACCAGCAAAGTCGATCTGTTTTTGGACATCGTCTTCCCCACTTTGAACAAATCCGCCAAAGTTGTGACGACCGTGTGGTCGCTGTCTCCGTCGGCTGTCGCCTCTCCGATGATGTGTATCTTTTGGTTGGAGACCTCGGTAGACGCTAAGTTGCAAACCTCGAGACATTTTGTGGACATTTCTATGTCTTCCTGCAATCGCGATCTTTCGCTCGCGTCGCCGTCTAAAACAACGGCCTCGAGGCGCTCTCGAAGTCGAGTAATGACCTTTGCGAAGCTTCTTTCATTGTCTTTGAAAATTTGACGGGTGAGGAGCTCTGCTTCGAACTTGGCCTGTATATCACTTTCGCCTTTTTCCTGAGGGGATTCCTGCAGTAGACTTGCATCTTTCCTTGCCAAAGACTCGAAATAAGATTTTGCCTCTTGACAAATTTGCAAGCATTTTTCTGTCACTTGTCGCTCATTGTCCAGATCTATGCTCGTTGTTGTGATGCCAGAGATGCTCGCCTTTGTTAAGCAATGCATTTTGTCATCAATGCGCTGCAGCCGGAGCTGGAGATCGTACATCGTGTTCTGCACCAGCTCATCGTATTCTTCAAGTGCTCGATGAGACAGTCTAACTGTCTGCCTGCATACAGAAATCAGCATACTGTAACCTCACAGACGTAAATAGAGGGTAGTGAGGAGCAGAAGGATTGAAACAGAACTCACATGGTGAGAACACCCAAGCCTACTGAGATAGTGGCCTTATACCCTGCCACTGTGTCTAGGAATTGATTGATATCCCCTCTCATGAACTCCATTTTCGCCCAATCTAAAAAGCCTGTATTCGATTTTTTCCCGAACTTCTCCATAGCGAGTTCAAACTCATGGCACACCTCTCTACAATGCTCGATAGGCTCGCGAAGGAGCGCAGCCATGGAGGTATTGATGTCGAGTGCAGGTTGAGCCATGGAAGCTGCCAACAAGTCCCTCAGCGCTGTCAACACCCTTTCCGTGTCGCCGGTCTCGTCTAGAAGCCTACGCAGGGTTGAATCGCGTGTTTTATAGCGCTCGACCGTCCCTTTTAAAGACCGTGTCGACTGGACGCCGGCCGTGGCGATTGCTAATAGCGACGCAATGATGCTCAATGGATCCGCCATCTGGAAAGGACAGTAGTGGGTCGTTCATAAAAAGCAGCTGGTAATTCGGGATAGCAAGCGGGTAAGTCAAGATGAGCCCCCAGAAGTTAGAAAGGGGATTGCGAGGAATCTAGGGTCAATGCTTGATTTTGTAGCATATTGTGTGGGTGGCGATTGTAGACCGACGGCCATTGGCGTATTGAGCGCTGCGGTAACGTCAGCATCCACAGCCTGCCGACCTCCGCACCATTTACACCATTGTCACAAACCCCTGAGGCACTGTTTTGTTCGCTATGCCCACCGTTCCGGCGACAGCGCGAGTATTTGTGAACGTAACCCGTCTTACCCCAACACCTGTTTTCAGATTGGTTTTTCTTTTCAATAAAATTAGTTGTCTACCTCGATTGTAGGTCTTAATGTATGGATAGTCCGTTGGCGACGATGTGCTGAGATGTGAGCGCCCCCTGTTGCCCGGATAATCCCGGCGAGTAGGTGCCGAGTCCGCAACCGAACCGCTTGCACTGGCATTCGAATCGCGGGGTATCCAATCATTTCCAACGCCTCAGCGATATTCCTACCTGCACACGCCACACTACTTTAGCGTACGCCTCAGCGTTTAATCTCCCTCCGCTCGGGGCCGCATCGTCTTAGCTATGGTAACCGTAAGGAGGAGGATGAGTGGTTGTACCTCATTAGGGTTAGCGTTTCAGGACGGTGAGATGTTAATATAAGTAACTCCACAGAATGGACTAGAACTGATTCACAACAAATGCTACTCGGAGCCTTACCGTAAGAGCGAATACATTTGCCATCATCAGTTGTCGCAACGGGATGCTGTCCGCGTCGGCGTCGAGGTAGACTTTATCTTGTGTTCGGTCAAGGCGAAGTTTTGCTTGGTACATCTGGTCCAGTACTTCGGAGTACATCTTCGAGTATTTTTTCAAGTCCCCACAGTCACTATCACACATATCCACTGGTAAGAGCTCTTTAGCTGTTACGAGCAGATTTTCGAGCTTAGCATTGACGTAGGTTAGCCTGGTAACGAGATGTTGTATTTTTTGCCGCACCATCCAGTCATGTTCTTCAATAATAATAAAAATTAGTTAAAAAAAATGCATTCGAGCGTACGTGCTTCGTGATTGTTTTAGAGGCGAGACGACTAAGCAAAACCGTATATGAACAACGAGGAGATCCTAGCTTTATATTCAACTACTTGTCTCCAAATCATCAGATTGTTACAGAACGACTCATTCTTACTTCATAGTAACGTTACAATTTTTCGGGTTAACAAGGCATCATGTGCGGCTAATGACCGCCACGAAGTATCAGAGGCCAGCCATACCAGTAATTTTCATAGAGCGAAGTCGAGCCCCTTATATTCAGCTCGGGCATCAGAAGACAGAATTAGATCTCAAAACCTCGATCAGACTAATCCTCGAAGCTATAGATAGCTTCACTGCTAGACTTGCTTGAGTCGCTGTATGACGAAAACGAATCTGATGGGGGTCTAAGCGAATCCTTCACTCGCACCTCGAGTGGTAGCTGGCCCATACACCTTGAAAGTTTTGTCCACGTGGATATGCCATATTCACACCACAAGACAGATGCACCTCGTCTTTAGATGTAGCCTGAAGTTTTTATTTGCTGATGCCACCAGACAACTGCGCACCTACGTGAACTGCAACTGTGATTAATAACACTGCACATCGCAGGTAATGTTGCCATTTTCGTCGTGGTAGAATCAAGAATTTAGAGTCCGGAAATACAACTATGGCAAACATGAGCAGCCCTGATGGTGCCATCCACAGAAACCGACCTCCGACATAATATCTCGTTCACAACTTCCCAAATCACAAACAGTGGCTGGAAGTATAGGCCTAGCGACCGGCCTTCTCACTTTATCGGCCTTTGCCCTCCAGTCTAGTGTCTTGCTGTACGATGCGGTCAAGAGTTTTCAATTCCACCCTGAACGAGTCCGGGATTTGACAGAAGAGCTGGAAGCCTTGAGCGGAGTACTTCGGACGCTAACCAGCACTGTCAATTCCACGACTAATGGAGCTCTCACTGCCCTTGAACTGCCCGTATTGCGCTGTGGAAATGCTTGTTAAGAGTTTCAAGAAGAGATGCTCAAGTGTTCGACGCGGTCAAATATCGACAGTGCGAGCCTCTGGGACTGGGCAAAGCTACGATATGTGGGCGGCGATATTGATGGTTTCAGACAGCTACTCCCAGGATACAAATCCACCATCAGCATTGCTCTCATGGACGCAGCCCTGTACGCTTTTACTTCTCTAAAAGTTATTCAGGGATGTGCTAATTCGCGACAAAAAGCAGTCGAAACTCGTCTGCCACGGCAGAAAGCCTCGAACGCTACTGCGAACTGATAAGTACAGCTACCGACGACCTTGAAGCCCACCTCCAAGGTATCGACGATGAACTCGATCTGGCGATCTTCCGCACAGTGACAGAATCCGTCTTGGATTTCAGTGAACTTCGTGGTATCAAGGACGGGCGGCTTAGCACTGAGAAATGCCTCCAAATATGCGCCCAACTATCCGAGCATATCGACCAAAATCAGCTCAGACCTAGCCATCAGTATGGCAATTTGCCTGAAGCCCGTGCAGGCGCAAGTGTCCCCGAAATCTTAATCAATGAAGGTCTTCAGCAATGCAGGAACAGCCCTCCACCAAACTTCGTGAGGCTGGAAAAGCACATGTCTGATCTCGTTGACCGCTTCACAATGGAGTCTAAGATGTTTATGGCATCTGAAGGAGAAGCCGCTGATCTAATAAGGCTATGAGACGAAGGGAAGACGGCTTGCCAGTGTCTAGACATTTGCTCCAAGGCTGATACGCACATACAAGACAATGTTAGCATCATGGACAAGTATGCCACTGGCGATGACGCGATTCAGTATCTGGTCTCAACTAACGGGAAGACAATATATGGTAAGAACGCAGGATATGGCTGGAGGACAAGACAGGTTGGCGTCCATCTCAGTGATGCCTCTCTCTAGCAAATTTCTCGCGACACTCAGACGTAGCCGGTCGGAGTCATCAAACGAAAACCGCAACTTCCCCTATTTCGGGTGACGCGAATGATTTCACACCTGGTCCAGATATTGATAAAAGATATGGTCCTGGGTCTTGTCCGAGCGTGGTGGGTGTTGGAAAGCAAAAAGGAGTCACGTATCGACAATGCAACAATGCAATCAAACAGCAGAACAGGAGATGTTTAGTCATGTAATGATCAGAGATGAAAGTGTCGAGAATGTTGCGTTGATGCACAACAACGCTGGTATTTGCGTCATCTGATGCAGCCAATACGTCTTCGTGGAGGTCCTAATTACCAGGTCACTTCTATCCCCTTTCTTAAACAGCGGGGTCAGAACTTAGACATGGCTCCATGAGCAGTTACTTTACTTCAATGAAGCCGGTGACTGTACGGTCACTCATTTCAATTAGACCCTCAATCTTCCAAGTGCTACTCTGTGTACAGTAGTGTAAAGCTTCAAAAGTATGCTGAAATGTCTCGACCAATAGGTGTACACTTAAATCATCTATCCTTAAACTATTTATATCTACTACTGTAGAGAACCATAGTCCTCCTTCTCTCTCTTCTCTGTTAACAAGGTTGTTACCGGTCTTAGGGTGGCACGGGAGGCCCTATTTGGGTCACGTGCACAGGGGTGAGAAGTCTTCACAGCTGTGGATAATTCTAGGAAGATCAAGAGATTAATACGGTCACCAAGGACCTCTATACTCGTCGCTACCGGACAGCGACCACGCGGCGTGGTGCACCTTTTCAATCTCTTCAGCAACCCCAATTCTGACATATTTAGCGACAGTTTCCTTAGTTATCTCTACTACCATAGATGGACATACACTGGGATGGCTGCTTGGTGACGCTCGAGGGCTACATCGATTTAGTTAATCCCCTGGTCTTCTTACCTGAATCGTACCGGCTCGTGTCCTCATCCTACGATAATACCGTGAAGGTGTGGGAGGCGGTAACGGGCGCCTGCACGGCGACGCTGAAGGGTCATAACGGCTCAAACATGTCTTCGCTTAGATGGCCCGGAACTGACCACGGCTACCTGTACGTGAATAATCTTCCTCGCTCAACTGGGTTACCATGTGTTATGAGTGCACTAGCAACCGAATTCTTAAAGTAGCAAGGGCCGAGGACTATACACCTGGACTCAACCGGCCCCAACCACCACTGCCAAATGGGTGCCTCCCATGGCGTCAGTGTGAGGCTAAATCCGTTCAATCCGTTTAGTGACCATGAGGAGCAGAGAGTGGTACTGGAACAATAGAAACCTGAGTGCGGTACTGTATCCAGCCTATCATAGTTCACATTTCTCCTGTGTAAATCTTAGGAGCTGTTCCTAGCGAGCTAACTCGCCTGGAGCCCTACCCCATCGCACCTTTCTGTCATGATTATTTTTCACTCTCAATTTGGAGCTTTTCCGTCAACCCGGCATATTGAGAACAAAACGAAGTGCCGGTGCTAGACTTGTGGCCAGCGAGCCTTTCCGCTACCTCAATCCTGTTGTTGGTGACGAGCCCTCATTGCATGCCACCGCACCCTGAGATGGTGGCTTTGGCCTTGGTCTATGAGTGTTATAACTGCCGGACGCTGTTTGGAAGATAACACAGTTACCGTTCCGATCGAATCGTATGCTCGACAAACATGAGCGTTTTCGAGACACGATTCCGATGGTAGTAGAAAAGGAAAAGGGGAGCGTCATAAACCGGCTCCGGAAGACGTGACGCTAGTATAGGCTAGGCTCAGACGTTTAGAATAGGCTTGTATGCCCTCCACCTTTCTCCTCGACCATTCTATAACAGCTAAATAAATAAGAACTTCCAAGGTTCCATACGACTCACTATCCTAATGAACGGTCGACGGGGAGAGCGATAGCCGGTACCATTCGAGGAACACCTAACTCCGTTCTAATATCCCAAATCATACTTATAAACCGCTCTGACCAGCCAGGGAAGTGGACCAGTGCTGATTGGTCGACTTGTAAGTAAGACTCCTCGGTCGTCGTGGGCCAACAGACATCACCCATCGAATTCCCCTTCAGCAAGAATGTGTACAAGGTTTTCAGATAGGGAGCTATAATCCCAACACGTAGCTTTGTTCTAGAAACAAAAACATGGACGGCCGCTCGTCGGACCTTCTCGTGGCTATCGTTGAGGCGCGCCGCCACCTGCGTAAGGGACTCATCGGATAGCTGTTCCCGTGCCGCGAGCGCTCGGACGGCCGCCCGTCGGACGTTCTCGTGGCTATCATCGAGCCGCGCCGCTACCTGCGTAAGGATCTCGGTAGACAGCTGGTCCCGTGCCGCGAGCGCCTGGACGGCCGCCAGTCGGACGAATAGATCGTTATCGTCCAGCCGCGCCGCCACCCGCGTAAGGATCTCGTCGGAGAGCTGTTCCCGTGCGGCGAGCGCTTGGACAGCCACCTCTCGGACTAATACATTGCTATCGTCGAGCCGCGCCGCAACCCGCGTGAGAATCTCATCGGACAGCTGGTCCCGTGCCGCGAGCCCTTGGACAGCCGCCTCTCGGACGTCCTCGTGGCTATCATCGAGCCGCGCCGCCACCTGCATGAGGATCTCGTCGGACAGCTGGTCCCGTGCCGCGAGCGCTTGGACTGCCGCCCCTCGGACGAATAGATAGCTATTATCGAGCCGCGCCGCCACCCGCGTGAGGATCTCGTCGGATAGCTGTTCCCGTGCCGCGAGCGCCCGAATGGCCGCCGCTCGGACGTCCTCGTGGCTATCGTCGAGCCGCGCCGCCACCCGCATTAGGATCTCGTCGGACAGGATTAAATGCGGACCTAGGATGGCCAAGATCCTTATTACTAGCTCTTTCTGTGCATGGGGTTCTAGCCAGGATTCTAGTAGATCGGCTACGCACGTCGGGATGCTGTGTCGTAATCGCAAGGCGTCGACGAGCTTGACTCGGCCCTCATCGGTCGCCCCTTGGAGTGCCCTGCACAAGACCAGCGACGGAAGCTCCATTTCGCATGCTAACGACGAGCCGCTCCGGAATTTACATTCGAACAACAGCCATTCCACCAGGTGGTCCTCGAGTCTTGTTCGAAGTGCTGCAAAACTTGATTGCGGCCGAGCCTGCACCTCGCTCAGGCAATATATGACGAGCCTTTGATGCGTCAGGCCCAAGAGGTCGATCGGCTCCTTCCTAATCTCGTCGAAGAACTCATCCGCCTTTCCCACTGTGTCAAGCAAGCCGGCTACGAAGCGCCATAGGATGTCATACCGTGCTGTGTACTTGTGCTTCCTGAGATATTCAATAGGCGTAGGTCCAGCGTCTTGAGTATCCAGACTAGCAAGCACCAAGTTTTTGGGTGGATTTGCCATCCACTGCCGTACAAAATACCGCGCCGCAAAATACTCTTGGTAAGTGAGGTGTAGAAAGTGGCAGCTTTGGTTACTAATCTTTGACGATGGATCCGAGGTCCTCAGGAAGGAAAGGCGTGGCAAGGTCGCGTCGGGTAGGAGATTTGGCGCAAAGCGGTCGAAGGCTTCGTTAAGAAGCTGCTGGTCGAACTCAACCACGTCGTTATGCATCCCAGTGAAAGAAAGACCCTCTAGAAAGCAGATCTCGTGTCCGGCGAGTGCCTCGACTCTGAACCGGCTAGCCGATTGGATGTGTAGTTTTGTGACCAGCTCTCCTTCGTGTTTCTTATTCAGTAGCGGAATATCCTTTTTCCATAACCTTTGCTCGATTGCTTGGTAAACAGCGGTCATGGTATCAAGGGTCACCGCGGAATCAAAGCCTTCGTTCCAGGTGAAGCAGAGCGCGTCTAGCTGGACCGGGATGCGAACGAGACCTTGCATGAGCTGATGATCTTGAAGGAAGGACCAAATCTTGCTGGTCTTTTGCGGATCGGGAAAAGTATTTCGGAGATACTCAATTACTTGATCTGGGTAGAACCCGATTGTTTCTAGCTCGAGGTCGAGGGTGATAGTGGTTGGGAGTTTAGTGTACGGCCGGGACGTGATTATGACGTTGCGCTGATCCAGGAGCCATTTGAGGAAGTCGAACATCTTATGATCCGGGTCTAGGAGATCGGATACCTCATCTAGGCCATCGAGAATAAACAGAGTTCTACCATCCTGAATAGCACGCACCAGGGCATTGGCGAGATACCTGCCGTCGCCTGGCCAATTCCAGAAATACTCATGGGTGAGTAAATTCTCAAGGTTGTAGCCTGTGGCTGACCGTGCCTTAAGCTTCCGCAAAGTCACCCATAGCACTCGATCGAACAAGTGCGCCCATGTGCCATGCCGAGTAAAGTCATGGACAATCCTCTTGCACAAGGTCGTCTTGCCCACGCCGGCGCGTCCTCGGATGAGAATTCGTCTGGGATTCACCTCGCCGCCCCCCAATTTCCGCGTGTTAAAGACTGCCGGTAAATCGACCTGGATTGTCTTATCCGGTGTCTCCGTATTGAGCGTAGCGAAGAGAGAAAATGGGGAGGAATTGGACGCTATATCCCCTTCCTCTGAGTTTTTCTCCAAGTAGTGCATAGTTTTCTTGTGCTGCTCCACGATTGAGAGGTTGATATAACACTGTTCCATCGACAGCAGTTCGCCAGAGAGTCGTTCAATCTTGAGTTTGTCATCATTATAGTGCTGTTTGCATATCCAGTCGTCCGCTTGCTTTAGCGGACTCCCCTCGCGGATTCTCTGGAGCATTTCTTGGATCTTCCCGGCAACCTTCTCGTAATCGGGACATTTAGGGTGTTCGAATTTGTTTGTCAGGACGTGAGGCCGGTCAAGCGGCAGCGGTTGCTGGACCATATCCAAAGTCGCCGAGGAACTATCGACCAACTAGTAATAGTTAACTAGGACGAGGGACAGCGGTGCTTCGCGAGGCTTACGGGTTCTTCCCGGCGTAGCCAGGCTGGCAGCCAAGGGAATACTTTGCTCGTCAGGCTCGTCACACCGAGTTCGTAGAAGTTGAACACATCACAGGGATAGTCGTCGTCTTGGCACAGCTGCGTGAACCGTCGCACCAGGACCTCAAGATCGAGAGCCGATCCCTTCACGCTGTCGAGCAGTCTGCTCGATTCTCGGCCTCGGACCGCAGCCCAGGCCTTCACGCCCGGCTCTGCCCAAGCTGCCACGTCTTGGAATGAGGTCCCGCGGAACGGCGTAGCAAGGAAGACAATGCCACGCGTGGCTCTTCTGAGACGGCAGTAGCTGCTGCTCTCGTTGTCGGCCTCCAAGAGGGCCTTTGCTAGGATAATGCCCCCGAGACACGACGCGACGAAGAAAAGCGGCCGGTCTTCTCCTCTCGCACCGTTCGTTGCCCGGGGCCGCCTCTGGATGCCGTCGAGCAGCAGCAGAGCATACTCGTCGAGTCTCTTCTGGACCAAGTCCGACGGCTGAAGAAGTTCAGCGGGCCAGTCGCACGTGAAGATCCTGGCGCGTCCTACCGCTTCCGGGAGCATGCGTCGATCCTGCAGCCAGTTGACGCCGCTCTCCGGGTGTTCGGTACGCCTTGGGCGCGTCCAGAGCGACTTCGGGCGCCGCCACGTCCACGTGTCTGGCGACTTCGTGTCGAGGCCGTGGACTGCAATAATGTCGATGTCTGTGGCCGTGTCGGTCTTATCGGGGCTGACCTGAGAGAGGCGGACCCCTCGCGTGGCTTGTGTCGAGCCCTCTGGAGCGGCGATGATGGTGCGTGTTCGGAATGCGCCGCAGTGGGACAGAACCAGAGATACGCAGCAATGGCACCAGCAAGAAGACAAAGAGCAGACATCCATCCGGCCAGGGACATGCCCTGGACGAGGCTGACGGCAATCATGGCTCTGCTCCAGACAGAGCTGGTTTCCAACAGCCCGTCCTGACAATCGTACACGCAGCAGTCGTCTGCGAGACTGCGCTTGAAGTCTCCTCCTTGCCCTTGGTGGGCCACTGGAGGCTCTCGTGCTGCTGCGGTGTGCTGCGTTGAGGTATTCGCTCTCCTGTCGGCGAGCTGGCGCCGGGGAGCGGGGTTGCATGGCGATGGTGCGTCGGCGTCCAATCATCTCGATTTGACCAGGTGCGCCGTCATGACGACGCGACAACGCGACTCGACCATTGGAACATACATCAGAAAGCGGGCCAAATCGTCAAGTCGCGTTGACAACGAGAACGATACGTCTCTATCGCGTCGAAGAGACGATGAGGTGTGGGAATCGGTCGAGATACGGTGAGACGACGGGGTCGAGCCCGTCTTGTTTGTGGATGGTGCCTGGAGCTGACAGCGTGTGCAAAGTGGCCTGGGGCGTCCTCGCATCCCCCAATTGCGGCAGAGCACCGCTGCGAGTTCCCGCTTTCGGTCTTTATAGTCGATTCCATTCTGCATGCCTCTGCGAGACGCCTCGCTTCCGCCGGTGTGAGAGCGGTCCAACAACGCGCGAGAGCATGGCCGGTCTTCCACAGGCCCTCACGCTTCATAGTCGTCGTATTAACGAGCAGCAATGGCAGCACCGATGCTCTGCCGGCTTCCTATCACTACTACGACTCTCGTGGCAGGCGCGCCCTCACACACCTAGCCGGCAGCGTGGCGACCGCTGTAGCGAGCGAGCTGTCCATCGGGCACCTTGGGGGAATGGACAGATATCTGTTCCATCGCTGTATTTAGAGAGCCCAAGGGCGAGCAATGAATATAAGGCTTTTGGGAGAAAACTAAAGGTCAAGCGCCCGTTATCAATGGTATCTCGATTTTACCAGATCAACAGGCTGGAGACCCATTTATGGTCTCCGGCCGAACTCCCAAGGGCTACGTGTCCAACGATGTCTGCCCCGTTATCGATAAGAGCACGCGCCACCACCTCGTGCACCCCGTCATATAGCCGTCCTTCTATCGTTGTCCTGAGCATTATATCCGCCCCGTTATCAATGAGAAGCTGCGCCAGAGCTCTATGGCCGCCCGTTTACGAACGAGCTTGAAGACAACTCGGTAGAATTCAGGGAACGTTGGCTAGATTCGCGGGATACTAGCCGTTTCGCTAGATGTGTCCGGCGCGGCCCGAGACGTGCATATTAGCTAGCGTACATGCGATGGTGTGATGCGCTGTGGAGATGGTTGTTCAAGTGCTTTGTAGTATTACAAAAGAGATAGCCGTTGAGGCTCTATTTTATGTGTTCTTGATCGCATGAACCAATTCTCTTAGAGCATCCTTCCTCCATTTCCTATGCTTTGGGTCCTTTACCTTCCGGTCTCACTATTTCGGGTTCTCACCCTTCCGGTGTCGCCTTTCCACCGCTAATGGCAGAATCTCAATCGAGCCTAGCCTCGCTATATGGTTGGCTCATCACATGTCATTGATTCATTGTTCTACCTACCCTATACTTGAGCTTCTTCGATTTTTCCTTCTCTCCTTAGAGAGCCTGCACTTCTTCTTCCCTGCCTGAGATACTATCTTCATTTTTGGACTACGTCATGTGACTTCTTTCTTGATACTTTCAGAAAAAGTGATGTCTTTTAATTTCAATCGACCCAACCTACATTTTCAATCACACACAATCTCTTAACCTTAATAATCCTCACTATATCTAAAGAAACTACTTATACTGATCCTGAGGCCACACTTCTTTAGATTAAGGAGAAGCTTGTTCAACCAAAGTATGAGACTAATCGTTGAAGTGATTTGATTTCAAAGCTTGAAGGGAGTCTTGGAGATGCTATCCAGCAGAATGGTGACACAGCCATGAGTACCAAAGTTCCAGTACCTCCAAAGAATGAAGAACCATCTTTTTTAACAATCTCCGGCCTGAGATCCGCTACTAAACTCCTTCATCGACTCCGTTCTCAAGGATTTCAACAAGCGAGTTTACTCTTCTCCAGAGGGGTCAAAGCTTATGGGCCCACTAAGCTTCGATCAATAGAAACAAGTCCTTTCGGTTCAATTTCGAGAACTTGGTTTATCTAAATTTCCTAAGACCCCTCCTCAGGTCGAACAATTTCAGATCCAAACCAGGCCCTCATTCTAATACTCTTACGAGATAGTTGCACAGAAGGACCACAAACGGCTATTTCACGGGAAACACTTCCCAATGAAGCCTATGAAGTCCTTCTGAAACAATACTCTCTGAGCGAGGAAATTTAGCGCGGTCACCTCTACTCAGAGTTTCACCGACTCTCCCTCAAGGAATATAAGGGATCCTTGGAGAATTTCAATACCGAATTCAACAATCTTCTGGCAAGGCTTTCTCTTTCGAATGTTTCTATTGAGCTATTCAATCAATCCAATCAGTACCTCGAAGCACTCAAAAGTGTCTGCCCTCATTAGGCAGAACGCCAGCTAAACATGTTCGCTTCGGCAAAGCCATGGGCAACAAAAGCGACGTCCTGAATCTTCAGTTTCTTATGGCCGATATTCTTGTAGAACAACGCGACAAAAGCCCTTCAGTCAGCAAAGCTACTTTTACAGGGTTGATGAAGCTTCTTCAAAGCCAAAAAAAGAAAAAGGACAAAAAGAAAGACTAAGAAGAAAGACCCCAAAAAAAGAAAAAAAGAAAAAATCAATCTTCTAGGGAAGTTTCAAGGGAGAACTCTCAGAAGGACTTAAATTCTTTATCTGCAAAATCAGAGTCAAAGGCTTCTTTCATTACTGGGCTTGAATTCTTAGTGAAGGAAATTTTGATTCTCACTCCGATTTAGACTTTGAAGACCACGTAGTCTACAAGGGCATGAATCTTCACGAACCTCTTCCTTCCTTTTCTGAATCTTTTGCCCACAAAGACACTTGTATTTTTAGTGGAGTTAGGCACTACTGAGTCGGACAGAGTTTTGATCAAACAGAACCTTTGTATTGCTGAACGATCAAAATGTGGGTTACTCGACTTCGAGAGCTATGGTTTCTTCCTTCAAGTTAAGGATACTTCAACCCTCAACTTTGCTCTCCGTTTCTGAACTTCTCTTTTGTAGTTGAAGTACAGATTATTCAGAAGGGCCCTGAAGAATTCAAAGACTATATATTTGTTGATGATTCTTCGGAGAAATCAAGCCCTGAATTAGTTCCTGAATTTTCAGCAACTCCTTCAGAGATAGAAGAACTTTCTTCTCTCGCTGTCTATCGACATGCCTATCACTCAATCACCCGCAGAAGAGCAGACTAAAGACTATCAAGAACCTCTAAGGCCAGCAGCTCTTTGTCATGCCGGACTTGGACATCCAGGCTTTGCTCTACTAAAAAAGACAGCTAAATTAGTCAAGGAACTTCCTGACTTTTCAGCTGTGAAAGACAAAGACCTCAGTGCCTTACTTGCACTCGGGCGAAGACTACTCGTTTTCCAACAAAGAACCCTATTCAATTACCCGCCTATGGCTCTAGATCACATAGATGGGGATACCTTTATTATTCAGCCCATGTCATATTACAAGGAACCAGTCTATCTCTTGCTTGTTGATAGGAAGACCCGATCACGCTAGGTATTTCAGTTATCGAATAATGAAGGTACCATCCTTAATAGTGTAAGGATTCCTCAAACATTCAAACAATATCTATAACCGATATCTTTCGGAATTTCACTTTGATGGTGGAACGGAGATCGCAGGAGAACTTTAAACATGGCTTGCTTCGAAAGGCACCACGTTTAGCACCTCAAGCCCCTATATTCCTGAGTAGAATGGACTCGCAGAGCGGTCTATTCGAGTGCTATTGGATCGGGTACTGGCTGTGTTTCAGTGGTCACGACTGCCTCTTTACCTGTGGAACTATGTGTTTCCAGCAGTCATAGAGTTAGTGAATTGCAATGCAGTCCCTAGTAGGTCTAAAACGCCTTAACAGCTGTTACTAGAAGATCTACATCCTTCTAGCTCCTATGTCCCTGATTTTCAAGCGATTAGGGCAATAGGATCCCACTATGAGGTGCCGATCCCTCCTAAGCAACGTGCTAAAGACGCAAAGCTCTCTCTAAGAACTCAACACGGAAGGATCCTCTCCACGTTAGGCAAGAATACCTATCAGGTCTACATCCCCCACCCAAACTTATCACGAAGACTAGTTTCGTCAAAATTTCCGAAGACATTCAGGATCTAAAATCTTTTTGCCCTGGTCCCCCCAGGGATCACCCTTTAGAGGGGGAAATTGGCTTATCACAAAGTTGGCCGGACTAAAAGGATGAAGACAAAAGAGATTTGTCTCCTCAGGATCAGAAACTGCCATGAGTGCCTTCAGACCAAGAAGAACAACCGGTTTCCGAATAACCAGAAGAACCAATGGGTCTTTCTTACAGGTCGTTTCTCTATCCTACGCTTCAAATCGCAGAGGATCTTGAGCCACAAAACTGGGCTCAAGTGCGAAGAAGCCCTGACAAGGAGAAATACCTTGAGGATATTTCCAAAGATTTTGAATAACTTATTGTAACAATAGTATGATAGATTAGGTAGGGAGAGAAGGCATGGTTTGTATATTCACAAAACTCAAACTTACTTCTTCCTCTACAGGTAGAAGTAAGTATTTTATACCTAAAGCACTCGGAATATCCGGAGATTAGGTGTAATACTAATGAATCGGGTACGCATCATTGATGCTGACATGGCGGTACGCCATAGCATCCGAGGCCTCCGTGAATCCTTGTGACTGCACCGCTGACTTCCTTCGGCCACGGCGTTACACTTATTCAAACAAATAGGCTTTCATTCGGTCCCGGAAAACAAGTACATAAGGAAAAAAGAGTGATTCTATGCCGCCTGGTGCTCAAATAGAAGCTTGACTGGAGTAACAGGCCGTACAGGTTCAAAGCGAGGCTTGTAGCCAAGGACTTATACACA